GCCACAGATAAAAATGTTCCTTACGAATGTCGCTGGTTACGGGCAGTTCTCGAGCGCCAGATTTTTAGTTATGGTTTACTCCACAAACTCTCGAAACGGCGTCAAAAGTACTCGAGTAGCTACAGATGGAGATAAAAAATTCCAGGGGTCAAAGGTCAGTTAGATATATGTAATAGTAGGCCACAAGTAACGAGCTTTAATCATTGCTTGGGCTGGTACAGAATTTATCACTAGATGGAATACAAGGAAGAAATAAAGTTAGGAATTAATAACCAGTAATGCGGCAAGTTAACATTGACACATATATTGTTTTAAACTATTTACAACAAAAAAAAATAAAAAAAATAATGTATTTCAATGCCCACCCTCACGGTAATATGTACAAACCCTGAACAAAAATAAACAAACAAGACGGCCGGAATGACTTCCGAATAGCCTCAATCAGACGTAAAAAAATGAAATCAATAATTGTAGTAATCACGGTCACAGCAAAAGTTTATTATTGAACTGTTTATCCGTTTGTTGAGCTAAAAATGTAACTTGCTATTTCGTTCGAAAGTATTAATTTGGTCGCAACAAAAATTTACTATCAGACTATTTTTACGGACGCAGAAAAAATGAACTATTTAACAGTTTAATCGTTAAACAAACTAACAATGCAATTTATTATTTTCTACAGAAAATAATATTTACGGTCGTAGAAAAAATTAACTGTTGAATTGTCTTATCGGTATTTATAATCAAATGTAACTGAATGCTTCGGCAAAGCAAAATTTTATATGCGGTTGCAGAGAATGCGAGGAGACAGGTTCGGGACAGTACTAATTCCAGGGCTGAAACCGGGACTCTATAAAAAGTTCAACTAGTGGTTGGAAAGTAAAACCAACTAACAACCGGGATAGTACATTATCTCTGAATGAAGTGATCGTAATCACGAGCCGCTTCAGACAGGGGAATGATGCTATTTAAGTTCTCTTAAAATTTGCGATTTGGAGGATAAAACAAAAGAAAATATCTCGTCGCAATTCTATTAAGATAACCAATCAAAATATTAGACAATTCATAAACAGTTCCGACCAATTATTTATTGGTTAAAGCTTTAAATAAACTAAAATGAAATTTACGATTTGTCCACGGAAATTTACAGTAGTAGAAAAAACTAACTATACGACTATGTTTACGATCGAATGAAAAATAAATTATTTAACAGTTAAAACCTTAAATAAACTAAAATTAAATTCCAAAAGAACGGTTTATTCTAACAAGAATAAATTAATGTATTTCTTAATCAAAAAAAATTTCAATTCTTAACTCAACGGAATAATTTTAATTAAAAATAGTTTAAAATAAATCGGTTTCCAATAGCATGGCTTAAAGTCTCGAGCGAAAAAAATATAAATTTATAGAAACAATGACAACAATTTACCTATGGTCAAGATCGCGGCTAGAAATATATTTCGGTTTTATCTCTCGCGAGCAATATCGGAATCGTGTCGGAGTAATTTTTAACCGACTTCAAAAAAGAAGGAGGTTATCAATTCGTCGCGATATTTTTTTTTTTTATGTATGTTCAGCGATTATTCTTTAACACGGTGTCCGATTTCAATGATTCTTTTTTTGTTAGAAAGGGGGTACTTCAGAGGTGGTCCCATATAAATTTAGTCCAAATCTAATAATTGGGTCCATGAGAAAATCTTCAAACTCTTCATTTTTTATGTATGTTTAGCGATAATGCTTTACCACCTTGTTCGATTTTATGATTCTTTTTTTGTTAGTAAGGGGTACCTCAGTGGTGATCCCATATAAATTTGGTTAAGATATGATGGCATCTGCACGTTTTTAAAGTCGGTTTTTTTAAATTTTTAATTTACACTTGTAAATATTCGCCTATTCAATAAAACGGTGTAAAAGCAAGTGAAATTTTTAATTGACTCCTCGAGCTTGTTTGATCGTTGCTTCCCTTTTCAAGCAGAAACCCCACCATTACAACTCGCCCACGTAGAGTATATCGAGGATTTGATATGAACAGCGACAAACTGATGATATACAGGGCATATCCACGAAGTTAAAATTAAATTAATACCCGGAATTAGTTAAAATAAAAAATAATAATGAAAATTGACTTCATTACAGTGTGATACTTATTTAGAGACTTTTTTAGAGACATTCTTTATTACCAACTGTAAACTAATTTACCAATAGCCTTATTTTTATAATACCTGTAGTGATTCAAATTAAGTAAAGTTTCTCATTATGAGTATATTAAATTAACTTGGTAATCCATTTTTCCGATTCAGACTTTTAAAGTGAAAAACCATTTGTCTCTTTATATTTATCAAATTTTTATTGTACATTTCCATTTCCATAATGATGTCAAGTAGTTACCTCATCAGAATATTAAAATTTTTCCTTTTAGCGGGTGTTGTGGGGAAAAAATTTACAAATTTTTTGCTTACTTTTTACTTCATAGTATTTTCAACTGGGTACAAAATAGACCATTATTTTGAATTAGTCTTTGGATGGTCTTAGGCACTGAAACAAATTACAGTTGTAAAACTTTATTAATCGTAAACAACATAACCTTAAAAAGTTTTTATTTACCTTGCCTTTTTCGGGAACAATCGTTAAATTGACATACATCCTTCCAATTTATTAAAGTTACATTTCTCAATTAAACACATTTTTTAAATGATAACAAATAATAAAATAATCTTAATTTTATTAAAACCGTTTCATAATGACGGAAAACAAAACGATAGTTTGTTTTATTTGGTACAGTGTTGCTAGAATATGTTTCTGTTATGTACCAGATTTTTCTAAAAAATGTACCAGATTCCTTAAATGTATCAGATTTTTCGAATTCTATTTGCAGTGACATCTAATTCATTGAAGGGGAAAAAGGGGGTTCTTTATTGATAACGAACCCAAACATGGAACACAATACATATATTTTACACGTGAACACGCAGAATATACTACATCTAGTACAATTGTGAATTGTACTAGACTGGCAACACTGGTTTGTAAACCTTGTTTGTGAGCGGCGCACCAATTAATGTGTTCTTTGACAGTTTGAAGAATCTGTTAGCGTGTTTTCTTCTTTTTTTAGCTATATGCATTCACCATATCAATTTACTCGTATTAGGCTCACTCATCATAATGCGCCACAGACACAGTATACTTAGGTATACTGTATACTGTGTCACAGAGATGCGATCAGCCAGAGGACAATGATGTACCAAAAAATATAGATTAACACGTATGAAAATAAAAATATTAAAATTAAATTTATTGGTATGAAGTTCAGATCAGTGAACATTTATAATTTTGTTTCACTAAATATAATTCATTTACTTTTACTTTATTATAAAGAGAAAACAAAAATTTCTTATTTATGAGATGTGATAAACCTAACAAAAGTACCTATGGAAATATCATGGGGAGTAATTTTTATTAAACCACATTTTATAAATAATATAGTCAAAATTAGAAAAACATTGTTTATTAATTCGTTATATAAAATAAGACATTTCGCAACTTGTTACATAAATAGTTATTAATATCCTTAAAATACAAAATAAATTAATTATTTCTCAAACCCAAATTTTTTTCTAGAAATTCTCATATGCCTCGATTTTTATTTTTAATTGTACATGTTTTACAAATTTAACCATGACTCCATCTTTGTTCAGTACATCATTTTAAATAGTACGCAAATTTACATTGTGATATGTGAAAGAATCTTTCGAAACAGCGTTTTATCACAGATTACTCAGAGAACAAAGTTGACTCAAAACATATTCCAAACAAAGCATCGGACTGTCGATTCTGCAGCGTGGAAGATACATCTGCAGAGTACATTCTATGTACCTGTTTCACCCATGGCTTTCATTAAAAGATGTGGCCTGTAGGTGAATTATAAGTAAAATATGAGCCACAATAGATTTATCTGGGACGCAGTGAAAGGCGATGAGATCATCCCACTCATCTTATACTTAACCTACCCGTAACAATATTAACGTTATTAATAAAATAAACCGACATGATCAGTAATTTTCTTAAACTTATAAAATCTATTACAAAGAGTGATCCATAAAAAATGTCTCCAAAGTAGGCCATGATTTTAGACAGAGATGCGAGTCAGGTCCGTGATAAGGACGTACGCCTTTCAATTAAATCCAATCTGCCATTTAAAAAAGAAAAAGACTTCTACACCCTGACATTCGTGATTTTTTTCATGGCCTATTCTAGATTTTTTTTGTGAATTACTTTACAATTATTGCGTATGCATTCGAGGCACAAACAATTCACTATACGTTCGAAATTTTGTCATTCTCTTTTCTAACTTCTTGTTTGTAGGTTGTAAAAAGTAGTTTAGCGGATTACAACAAAATTATTTTTTATTGTACATATTGCAGTAATATAATTTTAGATTAATACAATCTTGAAAATATCAGAAATAAAATATAAGTTGACATTTTTTAACCTCTATTTTTATTTACAGAATTGTTTACTAAACGATTATTTAACAAATGTTATCCAGTTACGTACTTCAATATACATACAATATTTTAAGACCCAAAATAATTAAAATAAAAGACAAAAAACTAGGTTATTAGTCTATACTCTGTTTGGCTCTTTTTACATAATAACTTTTGCATCGCTTTCCAACGAAAATAAACGGCTCCATGATCTATCGATTATGACAAACGATCCCTCTTATAAAAATTCAATATATACAACGAAAAATATCGACAGCAACAAATTTTCAGCGAGGTCATACATGAAATTTTTATCAACATTGACCCGTAAAATCTAAATGGTTTTCATATCCTAATAACACTTCTATTCATTGTTCCTTATAATGAATTATTGTCATTTATATAAACATGCCTAATAAACAAAAAATATTACTATGGCTTGATTATTAAATATTCCAAAAAGGAAACCACAAAATTTACAAAATCTCACAATAAACAAAATTTTAGATGAATGTGGATTTATAAATATTTTACAACAAAAATAATGAACAGAGACGTGACTGAAAGGGTCAAAGATGATAGATTGTTTGAGGCGGCATTACCGTTTGGTGTTTTAGTTGATGATTCAGTTGTTGATTCACTTGATGATGAACTTGATGAATCACTTGATGATTTACTTGATGATTCGCTTGATGATTCACTTGATGTAGAACTTGATGTAGAACTTGATGTAGAAATTGATGTAGAACTTGATGTAGAACTTGATGTAGAACTTGATGAATCACTTGATGATGGTATTGGTGATTGAGTTAATGTTGTTTCAGTTGCAGGTTCCGTTGTTTCATTTGATATTTCCGTTGTTTCATTTGATATTTCCGTTGTTTCAATTGATGGCTCCGTTATTTCAGTTGATGGTTCCGTTGTGTTAGTAAATGTAGTTGTTGGTGTAGTTGCTGTGGTTGTATTAGTTGTTGGTATACTTGCTGTGGTAGTATTAGTTGTTGGTGTAGTTGCTGTAGTAGTATTAGTTGTTGGTATAGTTGAAGTGGTAGTATTAGTTGTTGGTGTAGTTGCTGTGGTTGTATTAGTTGTTGGTATACTTGCTGTGGTAGTATTAGTTGTTGGTGTAGTTGCTGTAGTAGTATTAGTTGTTGGTATAGTTGAAGTGGTAGTATTAGTTGTTGGTGTAGTTGCTGTGGTTGTATTAGTTGTTGGTATACTTGCTGTGGTAGTATTAGTTGTTGGTGTAGTTGCTGTAGTAGTATTAGTTGTTGGTATAGTTGAAGTGGTAGTATTAGTTGTTGGTGTAGTAGATGTTGAAGTATTAGTTGTTGGTGTAGTAGTTTTTGGTGTAATAGTTGGTGTTTTAGTTCTTGAAGAAGTAGTGGCTGGTGTAGAAGTGGTTGGTGTAATTTTAGTTGTTGATGAAATAGTGGTTGGTGTAGAAATGGTTGGTGTAATTTTGGTTGTTGTTGTTGTTGTAGTAGCTGTTGGTGTAGTTGTTGGTCTAGTTGTTGGTTTAGTTGTTGGTGTAGTTGTTGGTGTAGTTGTTGGTGTAGTTGTTGGTGTAGTTGTTGGTGTAGTTGTTGGTGTAGTTGTAGGTGTAGTTATTGGTGTAGTTGTTGGTGTAGTTGTCAATGTAGTTGTCGATGTCGTTTTTGGTGTGGTTGTTGGTGTAGTGGTCGGTGTAGTGGTCCGTGTAGTTGTTATTGTAGTTGTCGGTGTAGTTGTTGGTGTAGTTGTTGGTGTAGTTGTTGGTGTAGTTGTTGGTGTAGTTGTTGGTGTTGTTGTCGGTGTAGTGGTCGGTGTCGTTATTGGTGTAGTTGTTGGTGTAGTTGTTGGTATAGTTGTCGGTGTCGCTGTTGGTGTGATTGTTGGTGTGGTTGTTGGTGTAGTGGTCGGTGTAGTTGTTGGTGTAGTTGGTGTTGTTGTTATTGTAGTTGTTGGTGTAGTTGTTGGTGTAGTTGTTGGTGTAGTTCGTGTTGTTGTTGGTGTAGTTGTTGGTGTAGTTGTTGGTGTAGTTGTTGGTGTAGTTGTTGGTTTAGTTGTTGGTGTATTTGTTGGTGTAGTTGTTGGTGTAGTTGTTGGTGTAGTTGTTGGTGTAGTTGTTGGTGTAGTTGTTGGTGTAGTTGTTGGTGTAGTTGTTGGTGTAGTTGTTGGTGTAGTTGTTGGTGTAGTTGTTGGTGTAGTTGTTGGTGTAGTGGTCGGTGTAGTTGTTGGTGTAGTTGTTAGTGTAGTTGTTGGTGTAGTGGTCGGTGTAGTTAATGGTATAGTTGTTGGTGTAGTTGTTGGTGTAGTTGTTGGTGTAGTTGTCGGTGACGTTGTTGGTGTCGTTGTTGGTGTGGTTGTTGGTGTAGTGGTCGGTGTAGTTGTTGATGTAGTTGTTGGTGTAGTTGTTGGTGTAGTTGTTGGTGTAGTTATTGGTGTAGTTGTTGGTGTAGTTGATGGTGTAGTTGTTGGTGTAGTTGTTGGTGTAGTTGTTGGTGTAGTTGTTGGTGTAGATGTTGGTGTAGTTGTTGGTGTTGTTGTCGGTGTAGTGGTCGATGTAGTTGTTGGTGTAGTTGTTGGTGTAGTTGTTGGTGTAGTTGTTGGTGTAGTGGTCGGTGTAGTTGTCGGTGTAGTTGTTGGTGTAGTTGTTGGTGTAGTTGTTGGTGTAGTTGTTGGTGTAGTTGTTGGTGTAGTTGTCGGTGTCGTTGTTGGTGTCGTTGTTGGTGTGGTTGTTGGTGTAGTGGTCGGTGTAGTTGTTGGTGTAGTTGTCAGTGTCGTTGTTGGTGTGGTTGTTGGTGTAGTGGTCGGTGTAGTTGTCGGTGTAGTTGTTGGTGTAGTTGTTGGTGTAGTTGTTGGTGTAGTTGTTGGTGTAGTTGTTGGTGTAGTTGTTGTTGTAGTTGTTGGTGTAGTTGTTGGTGTAGTTGTTGGTGTAGTTGTTGGTGTAGTTGTTGGTGTAGTTGTTGGTGTAGTTGTTGGTGTAGTTGTTGGTGTAGTTATTGGTGTAGTTGTTGGTGTAGTTGTTGGTGTAGTTGTTGGTGTAGTTGTTGGTGTAGTTGTTAATGTAGTTGTTGGTGTAGTTGTTGGTGTACTTGTTGGTGTAGTTGTTGGTGTAGTTGTTGGTGAAGTTGTTGGTGTAGTTGTTGGTGGAGTTGTTGGTGTAGTTGTTGGTGTAGTTGTTGGTGTAGTTGTTGGTGTAGTTGTTGGTGTAGTTGTTGGTGTAGTTGTTGGTGTAGTTGTTGGTGTAGTTGTTGGTGTAGTTGTTGGTGTAGTGGTCGGTGTAGTTGTTGGTGTAGTTGTTGGTGTAGTTGTTGGTGCAGTTGTTGGTGTAGTCGGTGTCGTTGTTGGTGTCGTTGTTGGTGTGGTTGTTGGTGTAGTGGTCGGTGTAGTTGTTGATGTAGTTGTTGGTGTAGTTGTTGGTGTAGTTGTTAATGTAGTTGTCGGTGTAGTTGTTGGTGTAGTTGTTGGTGTAGTTGTCGGTGACGTTGTTGGTGTCGTTGTTGGTGTGGTTGTTGGTGTAGTGGTCGGTGTAGTTGTTGATGTAGTTGTTGGTGTAGTTGTTGGTGTAGTTATTGGTGTAGTTGTTGGTGTAGTTGATGGTGTAGTTGTTGGTGTAGTTGTTGGTGTAGTTGTTGGTGTAGATGTTGGTGTAGTTGTTGGTGTTGTTGTCGGTGTAGTGGTCGATGTAGTTGTTGGTGTAGTTGTTGGTGTAGTTGTTGGTGTAGTGGTCGGTGTAGTTGTCGGTGTAGTTGTTGGTGTAGTTGTTGGTGTAGTTGTTGGTGTAGTTGTTGGTGTAGTTGTTGGTGTAGTTGTCGGTGTCGTTGTTGGTGTCGTTGTTGGTGTGGTTGTTGGTGTAGTGGTCGGTGTAGTTGTTGGTGTAGTTGTCAGTGTCGTTGTTGGTGTGGTTGTTGGTGTAGTGGTCGGTGTAGTTGTCGGTGTAGTTGTTGGTGTAGTTGTTGGTGTAGTTGTTGGTGTAGTTGTTGGTGTAGTTGTTGGTGTAGTTGTTGGTGTAGTTGTTGTTGTAGTTGTTGGTGTAGTTGTTGGTGTAGTTGTTGGTGTAGTTGTTGGTGTAGTTGTTGGTGTAGTTGTTGGTGTAGTTATTGGTGTAGTTGTTGGTGTAGTTGTTGGTGTAGTTGTTAGTGTAGTTGTTGGTGTAGTTGGTAATGTAGTTGTTGGTGTAGTTGTTGGTGTAATTGTTGGTGTAGGTGTTGGTGTAGTTGTTGGTGTAGTTGTTGGTGTAGTTGTTGGTGGAGTTGTTGGTGTAGTTGTTGGTGTAGTTGTTGGTGTAGTTGTTGGTGTAGTTGTTGGTGTAGTTGTTGGTGTAGTTGTTGGTGTAGTTGTTGGTGTAGTGGTCGGTGTAGTTGTTGGTGTAGTTGTTGGTGTAGTTGTTGGTGTAGTTGTTGGTGCAGTTGTTGGTGTAGTTGTCGGTGTCGTTGTTGGTGTCGTTGTTGGTGTAGTTGTTGGTGTAGTTGTTGGTGTAGTTGTTAATGTAGTTGTCGGTGTAGTTGTTGGTGTAGTTGTTTGTGTAGTTGTTTGTGTAGTTGTTGGTGTTGGTGTCGGTGTAGTGGTCGGTGTCGTTGGTGTGGTTGTTGGTGTAGTGGTCGGTGTAGTTGTTGGTGTAGTTGTTGGTGTAGTTATTGGTGAAGTTGTTGGTGTAGTTGTTGGTGTAGTTGTTGGTGTAGTTGTTGGTGTAGTTGTTGGTGTAGTTTTTGGTGTAGTTGTTGGTGTAGTTGTCGGTGTAGTTGTTGGTGTAGTTGTTGGTGTAGTTGTTGGTGTTGTTGTCGGTGTAGTGGTCGGTGTCGTTGGTGTGGTTGTTGGTGTAGTGGTCGGTGTAGTGGTCAGTGTAGTTGTTGGTGTAGTTGTTGGTGTAGTTGTTGGTGTAGTTGTCGGTGTCGTTGTTGGTGTGGTTGTTGGTGTGGTTGTTGGTGTAGTGGTCGGTGTAGTTGTTGGTGTAGTTGTTGGTGTAGTTGTTGGTGTAGTTGTTGGTGTGGTTGTTGGTGTAGTTGTTGGTGTAGTTGTTGGTGTAGTTGTTGGTGTAGTTGTTGGTGTAGTTGTTGGTGTAGTTGTTGGTTTAGTTGTTGGTGTAGTTGTTGGTGTAGTTGTTGGTGTAGTTGTTGGTGTAGTTGCTGGTGTAGTTGTTGGTGTAGTTGTTGGTGTAGTTGTTGGTGTAGTTGTTGGTGTAGTTGTTGGTGTAGTTGTTGGTGTAGTTGTTGGTGTAGTTGTTGGTGTAGTTGTTGATGTAGTTGTTGGTGTTGTTGTCGGTGTAGTGGTCGGTGTAGTTGTTGGTGTAGTTGTTGGTGTAGTTGTTGGTGTAGTTGTTGGTGTAGTGGTCGGTGTAGTTGTCGGTGTAGTCGTTGGTGTAGATGCTGGTGTAGTTGTTGGTGTAGTTGTTGGTGTAGTTGTCGGTGTCGTTGTTGGTGTCGTTGTTGGTGTGGTTGTTGGTGTAGTGGTCGGTGTAGTTGTTGGTGTAGTTGTCAGTGTCGTTGTTGGTGTAGTGGTCGGTGTAGTTGTCGGTGTAGTTGTTGGTGTAGTTGTTGGTGTAGTTGTTGGTGTAGTTGTTGGTGTAGTTGTTGGTGTAGTTGTTGGTGTAGTTGTTGGTGTAGTTGTTGGTGTAGTTGTTGGTGTAGTTGTTGGTGTAGTTGTTGGTGTAGTTGTTGGTGTAGTTGTTGGTGTAGTTGTTGGTGTAGTTGTTGGTGTAGTTGTTGGTGTGGTTCTTGGTGTAGTTGTTGGTGTAGTTGTTGGTGTAGTTGTTGGTGTAGCTGTTGGTGTAGTTGTTATTGTAGTTGTTGGTGTAGTTGTTGGTGTAGTTGTTGGTGTAGTTGTTGGTGTAGTTGTTGGTGTAGTTGTTGGTGTAGTTGTTGGTGTAATTGTTGGTGTAGTTGTTGGTGTAGTTGTTGGTGTAGTTGTTGGTGTAGTTGTTGGTGGAGTTGTTGGTGTAGTTGTTGGTGTAGTTGTTGGTGTAGTTGTTGGTGTAGTTGTTGGTGTAGTTGTTGGTGTAGTTGTTGGTGTAGTTGTTGGTGTAGTGGTCGGTGTAGTTGTTGGTGTAGTTGTTGGTGTAGTTGTCGGTGTCGTTGTTGGTGTCGTTGTTGGTGTGGTTGTTGGTGTAGTGGTCGGTGTAGTTGTTGGTGTAGTTGTTGGTGTAGTTGTTGGTGTAGTTGTTGGTGTAGTTGTTTGTGTAGTTGTTGGTGTTGTTGTCGGTGTAGTGGTCGGTGTCGTTGGTGTGGTTGTTGGTGTAGTGGTCGGTGTAGTTGTTGGTGTAGTTGTTGGTGTAGTTATTGGTGAAGTTGTTGGTGTAGTTGTTGGTGTAGTTGTTGGTGTAGTTGTTGGTGTAGTTGTTGGTGTAATTGTTGGTGTAGTTGTCGGTGTCGTTGTTGGTGTCGTTGTTGGTGTAGTTATTGGTGAAGTTGTTGGTGTAGTTGTTGGTGTAGTTGTTGGTGTAGTTGTTGGTGTAGTTGTTGGTGTAGTTGTTGATGCAGTTGTTGGTGTAGTTGTTGGTGTAGTTGTTTGTGTAGTTGTTGGTGTTGTTGTCGGTGTAGTGGTCGGTGTCGTTGGTGTGGTTGTTGGTGTAGTGGTCGGTGTAGTTGTTGGTGTAGTTGTTGGTGTAGTTATTGGTGAAGTTGTTGGTGTAGTTGTTGGTGTAGTTGTTGGTGTGGTTGTTGGTGTAGTGGTCGGTGTAGTTGTTGGTGTAGTTGTTGGTGTAGTTGTTGGTGTAGTTGTTGGTGTAGTTGTTGGTGTAGTTGTTTGTGTAGTTGTTGGTGTTGTTGTCGGTGTAGTGGTCGGTGTCGTTGGTGTGGTTGTTGGTGTAGTGGTCGGTGTAGTTGTTGGTGTAGTTGTTGGTGTAGTTATTGGTGAAGTTGTTGGTGTAGTTGTTGGTGTAGTTGTTGGTGTAGTTGTTGGTGTAGTTGTTGGTGTAATTGTTGGTGTAGTTTTCAGTGTCGTTGTTGGTGTCGTTGTTGGTGTGGTTGTTGGTGTAGTTGTTGGTGTAGTTGTTGGTGTAGTTGTTTGTGTAGTTGTTGGTGTTGTTGTCGGTGTAGTGGTCGGTGTCGTTGGTGTGGTTGTTGGTGTAGTGGTCGGTGTAGTTGTTGGTGTAGTTGTTGGTGTAGTTATTGGTGAAGTTGTTGGTGTAGTTGTTGGTGTAGTTGTTGGTGTGGTTGTTGGTGTAGTGGTCGGTGTAGTTATTGGTGAAGTTGTTGGTGTAGTTGTTGGTGTCGTTGTTGGTGTGGTTGTTGGTATAGTGGTCGGTGTAGTTGTTGGTGTAGTTGTTGGTGTAGTTGTTGGTGTAGTTGTTGGTGTAGTTGTTGGTGTAGTTATTGGTGAAGTTGTTGGTGTAGTTGTTGGTGTAGTTGTTGGTGTAGTTGTTGGTGTAGTTGTTGGTGTAATTGTTGGTGTAGTTGTCAGTGTCGTTGTTGGTGTCGTTGTTGGTGTGGTTGTTGGTGTAGTTGTTGGTGTAGTTGTTGGTGTAGTTGTTTGTGTAGTTGTTGGTGTTGTTGTCGGTGTAGTGGTCGGTGTCGTTGGTGTGGTTGTTGGTGTAGTGGTCGGTGTAGTTGTTGGTGTAGTTATTGGTGAAGTTGTTGGTGTAGTTGTTGGTGTAGTTGTTGGTGTAGTTGTTGGTGTAGTTGTTGGTGTAATTGTTGGTGTAGTTGTCGGTGTCGTTGTTGGTGTCGTTGTTGGTGTGGTTGTTGGTGTAGTTGTTGGTGTAGTTGTTGGTGTAGTTGTTTGTGTAGTTGTTGGTGTTGTTGTCGGTGTAGTGGTCGGTATCGTTGGTGTGGTTGTTGGTGTAGTGGTCGGTGTAGTTGTTGGTGTAGTTGTTGGTGTAGTTATTGGTGAAGTTGTTGGTGTAGTTGTTGGTGTAGTTGTTGGTGTGGTTGTTGGTGTAGTGGTCGGTGTAGTTATTGGTGAAGTTGTTGGTGTAGTTGTTGGTGTCGTTGTTGGTGTGGTTGTTGGTGTAGTGGTCGGTGTAGTTGTTGGTGTAGTTGTTGGTGTAGTTGTTGGTGTAGTTGTTGGTGTAGTTGTTGGTGTAGTTGTTGGTGTAGTTGTTGGTGTAGTTGTTGGTGTAGTTGTTTGTGTAGTTGTTGGTGTTGTTGTCGGTGTAGTGGTCGGTGTCGTTGGTGTGGTTGTTGGTGTAGTGGTCGGTGTAGTTGTTGGTGTAGTTGTTGGTGTAGTTATTGGTGAAGTTGTTGGTGAAGTTGTTGGTGTAGTTGTTGGTGTAGTTGTTGGTGTAGTTGTTGGTGTAGTTGTTGGTGCAGTTGTTGGTGTAGTTGTCGGTGTCGTTGTTGGTGTCGTTGTTGGTGTGGTTGTTGGTGTAGTGGTCGGTGTAGTTGTTGGTGTAGTTGTTGGTGTAGATGTTGGTGTAGTTGTTGGTGTAGTTGTTGGTGTAGTTGTTTGTGTAGTTGTTGGTGTTGTTGTCGGTGTAGTGGTCGGTGTCGTTGGTGTGGTTGTTGGTGTAGTGGTCGGTGTAGTTGTTGTTGTAGTTGTTGGTGTAGTTATTGGTGAAGTTGTTGGTGTAGTTGTTGGTGTAGTTGTTGGTGTAGTTGTTGGTGTAGTTGTTGGTGTAATTGTTGGTGTAGTTTTTGGTGTAGTTGTTGGTGTAGTTGTCGGTGTAGTTGTTGGTGTAGTTGTTGGTGTAGTTGTTGGTGTTGTTGTCGGTGTAGTGGTCGGTGTCGTTGGTGTGGTTGTTGGTGTAGTGGTCGGTGTAGTGGTCGGTGTAGTTGTTGGTGTAGTTGTTGGTGTAGTTGTTGGTGTAGTTGTTGGTGTAGTTGTCGGTGTCGTTGTTGGTGTGGTTGTTGGTGTGGTTGTTGGTGTAGTGGTCGGTGTAGTTGTTGGTGTAGTTGTTGGTGTAGTTGTTGGTGTAGTTGTTGGTGTAGTTGTTGGTGTAGTTGTTGGTGTAGTTGTTGGTGTGGTTGTTGGTGTAGTTGTTGGTGTAGTTGTTGGTGTAGTTGTTGGTGTAGTTGTTGGTGTAGTTGTTGGTGTAGTTGTTGATTTAGTTGTTGGTGTAGTTGTTGGTGTAGTTGTTGGTGTAGTTGTTGGTGTAGTTGTTGGTGTAGTTGTTGGTGTAGTTGTTGGTGTAGTTGTTGGTGTAGTTGTTGGTGTAGTTGTTGGTGTAGTTGTTGGTGTAGTTGTTGGTGTTGTTGTCGGTGTAGTGGTCGGTGTAGTTGTTGGTGTAGGTGTTGGTGTAGTTGTTGGTGTAGTTGTTGGTGTAGTGGTCGGTGTAGTTGTCGGTGTAGTTGTTGGTGTAGATGCTGGTGTAGTTGTTGGTGTAGTTGTTGGTGTAGTTGTCGGTGTCGTTGTTGGTGTCGTTGTTGGTGTGGTTGTTGGTGTAGTGGTCGGTGTAGTTGTTGGTGTAGTTGTCAGTGTCGTTGTTGGTGTAGTGGTCGGTGTAGTTGTCGGTGTAGTTGTTGGTGTAGTTGTTGGTGTAGTTGTTGGTGTAGTTGTTGGTGTAGTTGTTGGTGTAGTTGTTGGTGTAGTTGTTGGTGTAGTTGTTGGTGTAGTTGTTGGTGTAGTTGTTGGTGTAGTTGTTAGTGCAGTTGTTGGTGTAGTTGTTGGTGTAGTTGTTGGTGTGGTTCTTGGTGTAGTTGTTGGTGTAGTTGTTGTTGTAGTTGTTGGTGTAGTTGTTATTGTAGTTGTTGGTGTAGTTGTTGGTGTAGTTGTTGGTGTAGTTGTTGGTGTAGTTGTTGGTGTAGTTGTTGGTGTAGTTGTTGGTGTAGTTGTTGGTGTAGTTGTTGGTGTAGTTGTTGGTGTAGTGGTCGGTGTAGTTGTTGGTGTAGTTGTTGGTGTAGTTGTTGGTGTAGTTGTTGGTGTAGTTGTCGGTGTAGTTGTTGGTGTAGTTGTTTGTGTAGTTGTTGGTGTTGTTGTCGGTGTAGTGGTCGGTGTCGTTGGTGTGGTTGTTGGTGTAGTGGTCGGTGTAGTTGTTGGTGTAGTTGTTGGTGTAGTTATTGGTGTAGTTGTTGGTGTAGTTGTTGGTGTAGTTGTTGTTGTAGTTGTTGGTGTAGTGGTCGGTGTAGTTGTTGGTGTAGTTGTTGGTGTAGTTGTTGGTGTAGTTGTTGGTGCAGTTGTTGGTGTAGTTGTCGGTGACGTTGTTGGTGTCGTTGTTGGTGTGGTTGTTGGTGTAGTGGTCGGTGTAGTTGTTGGTGTAGTTGTTGGTGTAGTTGTTGGTGTAGTTGTTGGTGTAGTTGTTGGTGTAGTTGTTGGTGTAGTTGTCGGTGTAGTTGTTGGTGTAGTTGTTTGTGTAGTTGTTGGTGTTGTTGTCGGTGTAGTGGTCGGTGTCGTTGGTGTGGTTGTTGGTGTAGTGGTCGGTGTAGTTGTTGGTGTAGTTGTTGGTGTAGTTATCGGTGTAGTTGTAGGTGTAGTTGTTGGTGTAGTTGTTGGTGTAGTTGTTGGTGTAGTGGTCGGTGTAGTTGTTGGTGTAGTGGTCGGTGTAGTTGTTGGTGTAGTTGTTGGTGTAGTTGTCGGTGTCGTTGTTGGTGTCGTTGTTGGTGTGGTTGTTGGTGTAGTGGTCGGTGTAGTTGTTGGTGTAGTTGTTGGTGTAGTTGTTGGTGTAGTTGTCGGTGTCGTTGTTGGCGTGGTTGTTGGTGTAGTGGTCGGTGTAGTTGTCGGTGTAGTTGTTGGTGTAGTTGTTGGTGTAGTTGTTGGTGTAGTTGTTGGTGTAGTTGTTGGTGTAGTTGTTGGTGTAGTTGTTGGTGTAGTTGTCGGTGTCGTTGTTGGTGTCGTTGTTGGTGTGGTTGTTGGTGTAGTGGTCGGTGTAGTTGTTGGTGTAGTTGTTGGTGTAGTTGTTGGTGTAGTTGTTGGTGTAGTTGTTGGTGTAGTTGTTGGTGAAGTTGTTGGTGTAGTTGTTGGTGTAGTTGTTGGTGTAGTTGTTGGTGTAGTTGTTGGTGTAGTTGTTGGTGTAGTTGTCGGTGTCGTTGTTGGCCTGGTTGTTGGCGTATTTGTTGGTGTAGTTGTCGGTGTAGTTGTTGGTGTAGTTGTTGGTGTAGTTGTTGGTGTAGTTGTTGATGTAGTTGTTGGTGTAGTTGTTGGTGTAGTTGTTGGTGTAGTTGTTGGTGTGGTTCTTGGTGTAGTTGTTGGTGTAGTTGTTGGTGTAGTTGTTGGTGTAGTTGTTGGTGTAGTTGTTGGTGTAGTTGTTGGTGTAGTTGTTGGTGTAGTTGTTGGTGTAGTTGTTGGTGTAGTTGTTGGTGTAGTTGTTGTAGTTGTTGGTGTAGTTGTTGGTGTAGTGGTCGGTGTAGTTGTTGGTGTAGTTGTTGGTGTAGTTGTTGGTGTAGTTGTTGGTGTAGTTGTTGGTGTAGTTGTCGGTGTAGTTGTTGGTGTAGTTGTTTGTGTAGTTGTTGGTGTTGTTGTCGGTGTAGTGGTCGGTGTCGTTGGTGTGGTTGTTGGTGTAGTGGTCGGTGTAGTTGTTGGTGTAGTTGTTGGTGTAGTTGTTGGTGTAGTTGTTGGTGTAGTGGTCGGTGTAGTTTTTGGTGTAGTTGTTGGTGTAGGTTTTGGTGTAGTTGTTGGTGTAGTTGTTGGTGCAGTTGTTGGTGTAGTTGTCGGTGTCGTTGTTGGTGTCGTTGTTGGTGTGGTTGTTGGTGTAGTGGTCGGTGTAGTTGTTGGTGTAGTTGTTGGTGTAGTTGTTGGTGTAGTTGTTGGTGTAGTTGTTGGTGTAGTTGTTGGTGTAGTTGTCGGTGTCGTTGTTGGTGTCGTTGTTGGTGTGGTTGTTGGTGTAGTGGTCGGTGTAGTTGTTGGTGTAGTTGTTGGTGTAGTTGTTGGTGTAGTTGTTGGTGTAGTTGTTGGTGTAGTTGTTGGTGAAGTTGTTGGTGTAGTTGTTGGTGTAGTTGTTGGTGTAGTTGTTGGTGTAGTTGTTGGTGTAGTTGTTGGTGTAGTTGTCGGTGTCGTTGTTGGCGTGGTTGTTGGCGTGGTTGTTGGTGTAGTTGTCGGTGTAGTTGTTGGTGTAGTTGTTGGTGTAGTTGTTGGTGTAGTTGTTGATGTAGTTGTTGGTGTAGTTGTTGGTGTAGTTGTTGGTGTAGTTGTTGGTGTGGTTCTTGGTGTAGTTGTTGGTGTAGTTGTTGGTGTAGTTGTTGGTGTAGTTGTTGGTGTAGTTGTTGGTGTAGTTGTTGGTGTAGTTGTTGGTGTAGTTGTTGGTGTAGTTGTTGGTGTAGTGGTCGGTGTAGTTGTTGGTGTAGTTGTTGGTGTAGTTGTTGGTGTAGTTGTTGGTGTAGTTGTCGGTGTAGTTGTTGGTGTAGTTGTTTGTGTAGTTGTTGGTGTTGTTGTCGGTGTAGTGGTCGGTGTCGTTGGTGTGGTTGTTGGTGTAGTGGTCGGTGTAGTTGTTGGTGTAGTTGTTGGTGTAGTTGTTGGTGTAGTTGTTGGTGTAGTGGTCGGTGTAGTTTTTGGTGTAGTTGTTGGTGTAGGTTTTGGTGTAGTTGTTGGTGCAGTTGTTGGTGTAGTTGTCGGTGTCGTTGTTGGTGTCGTTGTTGGTGTGGTTGTTGGTGTAGTGGTCGGTGTAGTTGTTGGTGTAGTTGTTGGTGTAGTTGTTGGTGTAGTTGTTGGTGTAGTTGTTGGTGTAGTTGTCGGTGTAGTTGTTGGTGTAGTTGTTTGTGTAGTTGTTGGTGTTGTTGTCGGTGTAGTGGTCGGTGTCGTTGGTGTGGTTGTTGGTGTAGTGGTCGGTGTAGTTGTTGGTGTAGTTGTTGGTGTAGTTATCGGTGTAGTTGTAGGTGTAGTTGTTGGTGTAGTTGTTGGTGTAGTTGTTGGTGTAGTGGTCGGTGTAGTTGTTGGTGTAGTTGTTGGTGTAGTTGTTGGTGCAGTTGTTGGTGTAGTTGTCGGTGTCGTTGTTGGTGTCGTTGTTGGTGTGGTTGTTGGTGTAGTGGTCGGTGTAGTTGTTGGTGTAGTTGTTGGTGTAGTTGTCGGTGTCGTTGTTGGCGTGGTTGTTGGTGTAGTGGTCGGTGTAGTTGTCGGTGTAGTTGTTGGTGTAGTTGTTGGTGTAGTTGTTGGTGTAGTTGTTGGTGTAGTTGTTGGTGTAGTTGTCGGTGTCGTTGTTGGTGTCGTTGTTGGTTTGGTTGTTGGTGTAGTGGTCGGTGTAGTTGTTGGTGTAGTTGTTGGTGTAGTTGTTGGTGTAGTTGTTGGTGTAGTTGTTGGTGTAGTTGTTGGTGAAGTTGTTGGTGTAGTTGTTGGTGTAGTTGTTGGTGTAGTTGTTGGTGTAGTTGTTGGTGTAGTTGTTGGTGTAGTTGTCGGTGTCGTTGTTGGCGTGGTTGTTGGCGTGGTTGTTGGTGTAGTTGTCGGTGTAGTTGTTGGTGTAGTTGTTGGTGTAGTTGTTGGTGTAGTTGTTGGTGTAGTTGTTGGTGTAGTTGTCGGTGTAGTTGTTGGTGTAGTTGTTTGTGTAGTTGTTGGTGTTGTTGTCGGTGTAGTGGTCGGTGTCGTTGGTGTGGTTGTTGGTGTAGTGGTCGGTGTATTTGTTGGTGTAGTTGTTGGTGTAGTTATCGGTGTAGTTGTAGGTGTAGTTGTTGGTGTAGTTGTTGGTGTAGTTGTTGGTGTAGTGGTCGGTGTAGTTGTTGGTGTAGTTGTTGGTGCAGTTGTTGGTGTAGTTGTCGGTGTCGTTGTTGGTGTGGTTGTTGGTGTAGTGGTCGGTGTAGTTGTTGGTGTAGTTGTTGGTGTAGTTGTTGGTGTAGTTGTCGGTGTCGTTGTTGGCGTGGTTGTTGGTGTAGTGGTCGGTGTAGTTGTCGGTGTAGTTGTTGGTGTAGTTGTTGGTGTAGTTGTTGGTGTAGTTGTTGGTGTAGTTGTTGGTGTAGTTGTTGGTGTAGTTGTCGGTGTCGTTGTTGGTGTCGTTGTTGGTGTGGTTGTTGGTGTAGTGGTCGGTGTAGTTGTTGGTGTAGTTGTTGGTGTAGTTGTTGGTGTAGTTGTTGGTGTAGTTGTTGGTGAAGTTGTTGGTGTAGTTGTTGGTGTAGTTGTTGGTGTAGTTGTTGGTGTAGTTGTTGGTGTAGTTGTTGGTGTAGTTGTCGGTGTCGTTGTTGGCGTGGTTGTTGGCGTGGTTGTTGGTGTAGTTGTCGGTGTAGTTGTTGGTGTAGTTGTTGGTGTAGTTGTTGGTGTAGTTGTTGATGTAGTTGTTGGTGTAGTTGTTGGTGTAGTTGTTGGTGTGGTTCTTGGTGTAGTTGTTGGTGTAGTTGTTGGTGTAGTTGTTGGTGTAGTTGTTGGTGTAGTTGTTGGTGTAGTTGTTGGTGTAGTTGTTGGTGTAGTTGTTGTAGTTGTTGGTGTAGTTGTTGGTGTAGTGGTCGGTGTAGTTGTTGGTGTAGTTGTTGGTGTAGTTGTTGGTGTAGTTGTTGGTGTAGTTGTTGGTGTAGTTGTCGGTGTAGTTGTTGGTGTAGTTGTTTGTGTAGTTGTTGGTGTTGTTGTCGGTGTAGTGGTCGGTGTCGTTGGTGTGGTTGTTGGTGTAGTGGTCGGTGTAGTTGTTGGTGTAGTTGTTGGTGTAGTTGTTGGTGTAGTTGTTGGTGTAGTGGTCGGTGTAGTTTTTGGTGTAGTTGTTGGTGTAGGTTTTGGTGTAGTGGTCGGTGTAGTTGTTGGTGTAGTTGTTGGTGTAGTTGTTGGTGTAGTTGTTGGTGTAGTTGTTGGTGTAGTTGTTGGTGAAGTTGTTGGTGTAGTTGTTGGTGTAGTTGTTGGTGTAGTTGTTGGTGTAGTTGTTGGTGTAGTTGTTGGTGTAGTTGTCGGTGTCGTTGTTGGCGTGGTTGTTGGCGTGGTTGTTGGTGTAGTTGTCGGTGTAGTTGTTGGTGTAGTTGTTGGTGTAGTTGTTGGTGTAGTTGTTGGTGTAGTTGTTGGTGTAGTTGTCGGTGTAGTTGTTGGTGTAGTTGTTTGTGTAGTTGTTGGTGTTGTTGTCGGTGTAGTGGTCGGTGTCGTTGGTGTGGTTGTTGGTGTAGTGGTCGGTGTATTTGTTGGTGTAGTTGTTGGTGTAGTTATCGGTGTAGTTGTAGGTGTAGTTGTTGGTGTAGTTGTTGGTGTAGTTGTTGGTGTAGTGGTCGGTGTAGTTGTTGGTGTAGTTGTTGGTGCAGTTGTTGGTGTAGTTGTCGGTGTCGTTGTTGGTGTGGTTGTTGGTGTAGTGGTCGGTGTAGTTGTTGGTGTAGTTGTTGGTGTAGTTGTTGGTGTAGTTGTCGGTGTCGTTGTTGGCGTGGTTGTTGGTGTAGTGGTCGGTGTAGTTGTCGGTGTAGTTGTTGGTGTAGTTGTTGGTGTAGTTGTTGGTGTAGTTGTTGGTGTAGTTGTTGGTGTAGTTGTTGGTGTAGTTGTCGGTGTCGTTGTTGGTGTCGTTGTTGGTGTGGTTGTTGGTGTAGTGGTCGGTGTAGTTGTTGGTGTAGTTGTTGGTGTAGTTGTTGGTGTAGTTGTTGGTGTAGTTGTTGGTGAAGTTGTTGGTGTAGTTGTTGGTGTAGTTGTTGGTGTAGTTGTTGGTGTAGTTGTTGGTGTAGTTGTTGGTGTAGTTGTCGGTGTCGTTGTTGGCGTGGTTGTTGGCGTGGTTGTTGGTGTAGTTGTCGGTGTAGTTGTTGGTGTAGTTGTTGGTGTAGTTGTTGGTGTAGTTGTTGATGTAGTTGTTGGTGTAGTTGTTGGTGTAGTTGTTGGTGTGGTTCTTGGTGTAGTTGTTGGTGTAGTTGTTGGTGTAGTTGTTGGTGTAGTTGTTGGTGTAGTTGTTGGTGTAGTTGTTGGTGTAGTTGTTGGTGTAGTTGTTGTAGTTGTTGGTGTAGTTGTTGGTGTAGTGGTCGGTGTAGTTGTTGGTGTAGTTGTTGGTGTAGTTGTTGGTGTAGTTGTTGGTGTAGTTGTTGGTGTAGTTGTCGGTGTAGTTGTTGGTGTAGTTGTTTGTGTAGTTGTTGGTGTTGTTGTCGGTGTAGTGGTCGGTGTCGTTGGTGTGGTTGTTGGTGTAGTGGTCGGTGTAGTTGTTGGTGTAGTTGTTGGTGTAGTTGTTGGTGTAGTTGTTGGTGTAGTGGTCGGTGTAGTTTTTGGTGTAGTTGTTGGTGTAGGTTTTGGTGTAGTTGTTGGTGTAGTTGTTGGTGCAGTTGTTGGTGTAGTTGTCGGTGTCGTTGTTGGTGTCGTTGTTGGTGTGGTTGTTGGTGTAGTGGTCGGTGTAGTTGTTGGTGTAGTTGTTGGTGTAGTTGTTGGTGTAGTTGTTGGTGTAGTTGTTGGTGTAGTTGTCGGTGTAGTTGTTGGTGTAGTTGTTTGTGTAGTTGTTGGTGTTGTTGTCGGTGTAGTGGTCGGTGTCGTTGGTGTGGTTGTTGGTGTAGTGGTCGGTGTAGTTGTTGGTGTAGTTATTGGTGTAGTGGTCAGTGTAGTGGTCGGTGTAGTTGTTGGTGTAGTTGTCGATGTCGTTGTTGGTGTGGTTGTTGGTGTAGTGGTCGGTGTAGTTGTTGGTGTAGTTGTTGGTGTAGTTGTTGGTGTAGTTGTTGGTGTAGTTGTTGGTGTAGTTGTTGGTGTAGTTGTTGGTGTAGTTGTCGGTGTAGTTGTTGGTGTAGTTGTTTGTGTAGTTGTTGGTGTTGTTGTCGGTGTAGTGGTCGGTGTCGTTGGTGTGGTTGTTGGTGTAGTGGTTGGTGTAGTTGTTGGTGTAGTTGTTGGTGTAGTTGTTGGTGTAGTTGTTGGTGTAGTTGTTGGTGTAGTGGTCGGTGTAGTTGTTGGTGTAGTTGTTGGTGTAGTTGTTGGTGTAGTTGTTGGTGCAGTTGTTGGTGTAGTTGTCGGTGTCGTTGTTGGTGTCGTTGTTGGTGTGGTTGTTGGTGTAGTGGTCGGTGTAGTTGTTGGTGTAGTTGTTGGTGTAGTTGTTGGTGTAGTTGTTGGTGTAGTTGTCGGTGTAGTTGTTGGTGTAGTTGTTTGTGTAGTTGTTGGTGTTGTTGTCGGTGTAGTGGTCGGTGTCGTTGGTGTGGTTGTTGGTGTAGTGGTTGGTGTAGTTGTTGGTGTAGTTGTTGGTGTAGTTGTCGGTGTCGTTGTTGGCGTGGTTGTTGGTGTAGTGGTCGGTGTAGTTGTCGGTGTAGTTGTTGGTGTAGTTGTTGGTGTAGTTGTTGGTGTAGTTGTCGGTGTCGTTGTTGGTGTCGTTGTTGGTGTGGTTGTTGGTGTAGTGGTCGGTGTAGTTGTTGGTGTAGTTGTTGGTGTAGTTGTTGGTGTAGTTGTTGGTGTAGTTGTTGGTGTAGTTGTTGGTGAAGTTGTTGGTGTAGTTGTTGGTGTAGTTGTTGGTGTAGTTGTTGGTGTAGTTGTCGGTGTCGTTGTTGGTGTCGTTGTTGGTGTGGTTGTTGGTGTAGTGGTCGGTGTAGTTGTTGGTGTAGTTGTTGGTGTAGTTGTTGGTGTAGTTGTCGGTGTAGTTGTTGGCGTGGTTGTTGGCGTGGTTGTTGGTGTAGTGGTCGGTGTAGTTGTTGGTGTAGTTGTTGGTGTAGTGGTCGGTGTAGTTGTTGGTGTAGTTGTTGGTGTAGTTGTTGGTGTAGTTGTCGGTGTAGTTGTTGGTGTAGTTGTTTGTGTAGTTGTTGGTGTTGTTGTCGGTGTAGTGGTCGGTGTCGTTGGTGTGGTTGTTGGTGTAGTTGTTGGTGTAGTTGTTGGTGTAGTTGTAGGTGTAGTTGTTGGTGTAGTTGTTGGTGTAGTGGTCGTTGTAGTTGTTGGTGTACTTGTTGGTGTAGTTGTTGGTGCAGTTGTTGGTGTAGTTGTCGGTGTCGTTGTTGGTGTCGTTGTTGGTGTGGTTGTTGGTGTAGTGGTCGGTGTAGTTGTTGGTGTAGTTGTTGGTGTAGTTGTTGGTGTAGTTGTTGGTGTAGTTGTCGGTGTAGTTGTTGGTGTAGTTGTTTGTGTAGTTGTTGGTGTTGTTGTCGGTGTAGTGGTCGGTGTCGTTGGTGTGGTTGTTGGTGTAGTGGTCGGTGTAGTTGTTGGTGTAGTTGTTGGTGTAGTTATTGGTGTAGTTGTTGGTGTAGTTGTTGGTGTAGTTGTTGGTGTAGTTGTTGGTGTAGTTGTTGGTGTAGTTGTTGGTGTAGTTGTTGGTGTAGTTATTGGTGTAGTTGTTGGTGTAGTTGTTGGTGTAGTGGTCGGTGTAGTTGTTGGTGTAGTTGTTGGTGTAGTTGTTGATGTTGTTGTCGGTGTAGTTGTTGGTGTAGTTGTTGGTGTAGTGGTCAGTGTAGTTGTTGGTGTAGTTGTTGGTGTAGTTGTTGGTGTAGTTGTTGGTGTAGTTGTTGGTGTAGTTGTTGGTGTAGTTGTTGGTGTAGTTGTTGGTGTAGTTGTTGGTGTAGTTGTTGGTGTAGTTGTTGGTGTAGTTGTTGGTGTAGTTGTTGGTGTAGTTGTTGGTTTAGTTGTTGGTGTAGTTGTTGGTGTAGTTGTTGGTGTAGTTGTTGGTGTTGTTGTCGGTGTAGTGGTCGGTGTAGTTGTTGTTGTAGTTGTTGGTGTAGTCGTTGGTGTGTTTGTTGGTATAGTGGTCGGTGTAGTGGTCGGTGTAGTTGTTGGTGTAGTTGTTGGTGCCGTTGTTGGTGTAGTTGTCGGTTTAGTTGTCGGTTTAGTTGTCGGTTTATTTGTCGGTTTAGTTGTCGGTGTAGTTGTTGGCATGATTGTTGATTCAGTTAATTCAGATGCAAACATAGATTTAGTTATTCTTGAGCGTGGGCGAAATGTTGGAGTCGATTCAGCGACTGCAAAAGAATTAAAGTTAAGAATAACATTTATAGTTTAAATGGTTATTTTTTAAATATTTCACAAAATTTGTGACCCTAATGAATCAGATATTGGAAAATTATTCTTAATTTGTTAGAATAATTGTTTTTTAAACCAAAGTCCAACCGGTAAATATTGTTTGTGACAGTCAGACCTGTGTCGGACTAGCTTCGGGGTTCCCTTACGTGATGTGCGGTTGTTGATAGCATAAATGGTCTGATCCTTCTCTGGATACTACCATCAGATAAACTAATTTTGTCCTGATGATGACAACGTAATCAAAAGTACCTTTAGAATTCAATATCGATTTCCTGCTGAGCTAACCCACAAATTACCTAAATTCGTCGCCGGTTTTGGTCCCTAGGCTTCAGCTCTTGTGTTAGCTGAATTTGATATCCCGATTGCAAAGTGCGCCAATGGGAGCCATAAGAAATGTATAAAACTTGGAAATGTCTGCGAATCGACACTATAATATGTCTCTAATGGTACTTTAATGAGATACTTACAAATGCACTATGGTTAGATGAAACAAAATGACTTTAAATAATGAAGTAATAAGATTCTTAAAAATGCACTTTTGTTAATGTAGGATATGTCTCCTACAGAGTACTGTTTTTTTCCGTTTAAATTGGACCAATAATAATAGAGGTATAGACTTAGGTCCTTTTGATGTTGTTTTTTTGTTAATTTGTATATTTTTCATTGTTCACCTCAACAAAGGCTGCCATCTTGGATTCCCGACGGTATCTAACCGCGAGCCAATATTACTCAGTGGTTGAGTGCTAACTGAGCACGTTCCCAGGTGGTGGAGAGCAGAACGGTTAGTGGTAGACATAAGTAGAGTGATAGTGCTCAAAAACTATCAAAATCTTTTGCAAAGACTACGGCTGTGAATCAACTCCCTCAATGTAAGATGTAAGGTAACGTGCCGATGGATGAATTGCGGCAGTCAACGTTTCTCTGAGAGTACCTGGCGACACCATCTTGTATCTAGCCTTTTTGGTGCATACAGGGCTCTGTCTCGGTCGATCCTTCTTTCCCTAGCTACTCGTGGGAACCTTATGGATCCAAATACAATTTCAAGAAGGCTGGAGGTCAACGCTCACCTCTAGAAAACGAGAGAAAACTAGAGAGGCAAGAGGATCTCTGGTTCTGAAGCACATAAAAGAAAAATGGTAAACTACAGACAAGCAGAGCTTCGGCAACTGACACTGGCAGGATACGAACTCACTTCAAACCCAACCAAACAGCCCAGTCAAGTCTTTGGGAAACGACGCTAGTTCTGCTTCCACAAGAGGCCAGGAATACGATGCAACCAAGGGCAAGAAAAGGCCGTGAACGGTTATAACTCTGAGGAGTTACACTAGACCATCCCCTCCCTTTTCGGAGGAAAGGATAGTCAAACACTAATCTCGAATGCTTCCCAAACTTCAATGGGGAATCGGAAAGCAATTAAAGGGGTGAAAATTATTTAATATAACTTACAGCACAAAAGGATGGCTACCAACATTATGTCGCCGCTTTAAAGAGCTGCAAAATATTATAGGACTAATCCAGGAATCCTGGATAATAAAAATCAAAATTGTAGGTCTAAAAAATCTAAATTGTTCCCAGTAACCAACAACCTAGGCCAGCTATTTACATTCCTAGGAAATATTAAGTCCACTCAATGGCACATCTTTCCACCGCCGATTTAACTGAACCAATATTTTTAAACTCTCGCAGTCAAACACTAATGGATATTACTTTATCCACAACTGGTATCTATAATTAAATTCAAAAATGGCAAGGGTCTGATGACATCTCGATATCAGACCACCGCTGGTTAACATTCAAAATAAACTTGATGTTGCCGAGCTCCACGTTATCTTTAAACCCTAGGAAGACGCACAGGGCAACCTATGATCACCTTTTATAAGAGGCTTTGAGAGAGGTGGAGGCCGAAACAGCAAACAATAACGATGTCCTTGTTCGTGTTCGTTCTCATACGATTTCATTGTACAATATTTTTCTGTAGAATAATATAACAACTTTGTTACACTCCGTTTTTATTTTTAAGTATTATTTACCATTAAATGTAGGTAGTAGTTTTGAAACATACCTCGTATATGATATCATTTTTGTTTTGGTTATAGTTGGTGCCTCTTTTTAGTCATACCTTTTCATTTTATGTATAATACACACTCAAAATTACATTAATATTATAAATATAATTTAGTTTATATCCCATAATCAATTAAATTGTTTATTTTTGTGATATGTTTGAATTATTGCCACTTGTCAGATTAGTTGGCTCTAGGCACTGTTAGGCTCGGTTAGCTGCTCCCAACAGTTAGTCGCTAGGCATTATTATGCTCGAGCTGTAATAGTCCGAGTAGCACATGCAGCCAAATTTTGTTGGGGGTTTATTTATTTGTTTGTTTTTTATTGATTAAGGGTTATTCGTGTAAATAGAAATATTAAAATGTAAATATTATATGAAGGGATTATTAGAAATTATTTGAGCCAATGGGAGGTGTTATTAACACCTGTGCACCTGACGATGGGCTGAATAGGTCTACGTTAAAAGGCCAAAAAGAAGAGTTTGGTTTGAAAGGTGTCATGGTTCGCTCTCTTGCGTGGCACCTGTTGAGCTGGGAGGATTTCAGAAATTAAAACCGTTAAGTGCCGTTTGGGTATCGTCGAAAATTTCGGATTTAGGTTTTAATATTCATTTTGGTTTCCCCATTCAATTCTTTCGAGTGAGTAAAAGTTTTGATTTTGTATTAGTGAATTGGGGGAACAACTTTGTTAAAGAAGGATTAATTGATCTTCATGAAAAACGTGTTCAACGCGGGGATGCGCCCGCCATCTTTAAAAGTCGACAGTGGTTCTGGAATTATTCGCACACTATGGTTCCTGATGGTTGCGACTCTTCTATCCACACTGGGCGAATTTTGTTGGAGCCCTAACCATCTCCAGGATAATTTTGGGGAGAGATATTCACCTTTTTCTGGGCTCTTCAAGGTTATGGCTTATTTTTGCCACTTCACCTCATCGAGTGTACTTGTGCTGCAGATCTCTACCTGGGGGTCGATTCTCGACTCGTAGGAATATTTTCCTATAGGAATTTTTGACATTTTTATAATCGAAAATTTATGACAGTTTCCTACATATAGGAAAGTGTCACAAATTCCTATGGGAAAAGGTTCCTACAAGTCGAGAATCGACCCCCTGGTGTGAAAATCGTGCTCCTGCGCTCTACAAGTTAAGTAGTAATTTTATCTTTGATTCAAGCCATGTGCTTCCTAGTATGTTGGCTGGAACCCAACTAGTAAAGTTTTTGTTTTAATATTAAATTGGAGTCATCTCCAATCAACCACATACATATTCACCTTTTTATGTTTGACATTATTTCCGTGAAGTTATATATATATATATATATATATATATATATATATATATATATATATATATATATATATATAAAAAAAAATTGTTGTCAATGGGGAACTAATTTCGTGAGGTTGTCTATATAAAAATTATTGTTAACGGGAACTAAGAATTTGGGTTTTAGTTGTTAAGTTATCGGTTTTCTTGTTTAAACTAGGGTTGAAATAGGAGTATTACTGGTTTTAATATTAAAAGCTTAATAAGCGATTAAATTATTGAGTAAGAATTAAATTGAACCTTCAGTAACTTTCTTTAAAATATTTCATTTCAGGGTTTATTGCATTACATGTCCTTAAATACGGGACCATATAGTACCCCAGTATCTCTATTTAGGCCCAGCAGGGTTATTCTACTAAATTTATAGCCCGGCTACAAGTTGGATTTTGGCTTGAACTTTATATGTTCCTAACTTCAAAATCCAACTTGTAGCCGGGCTATAAACTTTTAGCCGGGCTATAAATTTAGTAGAATAACCCTGCTGGTATTTATGATTCTTTTATTATTATTATTATTATTATTATTAGTCAATGTGACACTTGGTAGCGATAGTACTTGTGGTACTGCTACATATTTTTATTATTATTAGTCAGTGTGACACTTGGTAGCGATAGTACTTGTGATACTGCTACATATATGAATTGTATCTTGTAGATATTAATATTTTGTTTTTGCAGATAGATCTGAATTGTTAAACGGTCCCTTTGTTCGAACAAATGGAGCCATGATGCATCTGTAAAAATCTATATACAGGTTCTTCTTAATAAACTTCCCATTAACAATAACGTGAGTTTTCATTTCCTGGCAAGCTGGACCTTTTAAGGTGAGTTTATTACATTCTCTAAATAAATCACTTATTTATTATAGACCAGGAGTTTTGTCAAAGAATAATAGTAAAAAAAAAATAAGGAAGGTATTTATCCTTCATAAATTAATACTCGTGCATAATTGCTTGTTGTGAATAGTTGTCTATCCTCTTAACAACGAGGGATCTAGTGATTTGGATCAGCCCATTAAATCACTGGCGCGATATAAATTCAGAACACCAGCTCCTGAGCTAGCAGGTGTGTTCCCAAGGCGTACTAGGGTGATAGATAAGTCATTTGTGTGTATTGATTAATTATTTTTTTTATAGTTTTGTTAAACAGAGAACGCCTGTAACAACTTTTTGTAGGTTATGAACCGCAAAACCATTCCATTTGAACACCTTACTTAACACGGTCTTTGATTATGCGTACCGTTAAAGTACACTCTCTGGCAAAACGATTGTAGCAACAGGGCCGGCCCTAGACATTTTGTCGCTCCGGGCAAAACCTTAATTTTGCGCCTTCCTCTTTTTTTTAAGTAAATCTCATGCGACCATATCAGAAAGTAAAGAAAACATTGAAAAAAAAATAAAAAAAACATTGAACTTTAAAAAAAAGTTTTATTAAAAACTCAATCATCAGATAACAAGATAAGTAATT